CTCTAGCAGCTGAAGCCTGAAGCCTCTGGAAGGAACCAGCCCTGCTGACACCTCTGACTTTGTCTCAGTGAGACTTGTTGTAGACTCTAACTTCCAGAGCTGTAGGATAATAATTGTGCACTGCTATAAGCTACTAGCAGCAACAGGAAACTAATACACAGTCTTAAATTGGCTGAAATAAGCTTCTCTTTTACTTAATAGGCCATGTTAGGCCCTCAGTGCTTTCTGAATTGCCACTTAGCATAAAAGGCAATCAATGAAGAGCTACGGAATGAATACTGAATGAAATAGTATACAGCCATTATAAAGATGTTTACAAAGAGTTAGTAAAACAGGAAAATGTTATTTGATAAGAAAAGAATGTCAATTTGCATTTCAGTGACATCACAGTTATATTAAATGGGCAAATATCAAATTATGCATATAAGAAATCCAAAAGAAAACAAATTAAAATAGTAAGAGTGATTGTTCCTGCATGTTGGGACTGTAAATGACTCTTTTTATCTTCTTTTTACATTTCTGCAAATTTTCTATAATGAACAGGTATTGTTTTCATAATGCAAAAAAGTACATCAATTTTATTTAAAATTTAGATGTATAATATGGGATAAAAAAGCAATTTATACAATATTGGTGCATTCCATCTCTTTCTACACAAATAAATCTCATTTAATTGGTAATTCAGCCCGACCAGTGTGGCTCAGTGGTTGAGCATTGAGCCATGAACCAGAAGGTCATGGGTTGTGGGCTTGATCCCCAGTGTAGGGCATGCAGGAGGCATCTGATTAATTATTCTCTCTCATCATTGATGTTCCTATCTCTCTCTCCCTCTCCCTTCTTCTCTGAAATCAATAAAAATATATTAAAAAATAATTGGTTATTCAAAGCCTTCAAATTCATAGATCTGTTATTTCACTAACTATGCAGTCATCATGAACCTGTATTTTGTTTTGCAAACATGGGTCAGCTTGAAAATAGTAAAGTTATAATTATCACCTTCAAAAATCATCCACTGAGCAGCCCCTGTGAGCTGCATGAGGACAGCAGGGTGTCAGAGAGGTAATGATTTAAGTAGACACTGATAGTTGACTCAGTTGGAAGGAAAAAAGGCCAAGAGGGAAAAGCTGGGAACCTGCAGAATGACTCAGCTTCACTTGAGTGTGGAAAGACAAGACAGTTCTTCCCAGAGCTACGGCTCGTTGACGTTGGGGAAGTCTTCCGCCACTCAGAGCCGTGGTCTCTTCTTTTGTGTTATGAGGGAAGAGGACCAAATTATCTCTATTTGTCCTTCTAGCTCTAAACATTCTATAAATACACGCATGTGTAAGTATTCACACAAACACATGGACATCTAGGCTCTGATGATAAAACAATAAGACTGATTAAAAAAGGCAAATGCCAGAAAAATACTTTCACTATTCTATGGTCTCATTTTTTATTCATACAGGGCTGCTGTGTAAAGTAGGTCTTTTGCACTGTGCAATTTTCCGCTCATACCATCACCATCAGATATTTCACAGTATCTTCCTTTTTACGATGTCAGAAAACACCCTGCACAGTGTATTAAAAGGCTTTAACATCTGAGGGGTTACAGCAGCAGCCTGTTGTCTGGTTAGTTGCTGAAGCTTTACAGCTTGTCACTTGTCAGCTCTCTGAGGCATGCATTCATGACCTCGGGGAAGCTTTCTACTTCCTTCTGTGAAAATCCAGTACATTAACAACACTTAACAGCGTTCCAGCTAAGTGCAGTGCCTGATAATTTCTCCATTCTTATGATTTTAAACAAGATACTATTTCTAAAATACGTCATATGTAAATTTTTAGTGGAATCTTGAAATGCCCTAGTATACTTTTTCCCCAGGAATATTAATGGGATACCTCTTATTTGAAAGAAACTTAAGTGATTTACTCCAAATCCTACAGAACTTAGAAGTCTGTAGGGTGCAATAAATCATGTGCATACTTTACTTTAATACAGAACAGAAAAGTAAACGCAGGAGAAAGATACAATTATATTACAATGGACAGAATCTCAGAGGAGAAATAGATTATGTCCAGCTGTCCAGAAAGAGAGATGGTTCAGGGAAGCATACAGGGTACATGGCATTGGAGGCTGTTTGGATCTTAAATTCAAGAACTGAGGTGGAAGTGGGGGGCTTTCTTGGTAGAGGAAACAGAATAAGCAATGCCTTGGTGGCAGGGAAAATTTGGGGTGTGCAAGGAGAAGAGCAAAGAGTGAAATCTGATGGCACTCTCAACTTCAAGTTGGTGAGCCATGGGTTACAGACTGAAAAGATGGGCAAGATCCAGTTCTCCAAGGCCTTAAATGCCGACCTAAAGAAGCTGCACTTGGTTCTACAGACAGTAGAGAGCCATATAGGGCTTCTGAGCAATTATTTAATTGTCTTTTCATTCACCTCTCTTTTTTAAAGGAAACAAAGGTAATTTTGACTCTGTACTTTAAAAGGAATTATAATTTCTTATTCAACAAGTGAACAAAATTCTAGGGAACCTTTCTGTTTATCAATCCATGAATTAGAAAATATTTAAACTTTACATGTTTGAAACTCTGAAGGGAAAGATTTCCTTTATTGCTCTAGTATTTATTTGGTATTGGAAGAGCAGTGAGGCTATTAAGATGTTGGAATGACAGCTGCACATAGAGGGGGCTCAGGAAGCTCACTCATCTGGAGGATAGAAGGTGACTTGGTCACCCCGACTTTATCCTATGGGCTCCAGCCTTCCCAGTTCAGGCCTCTGGCCAACAGGATTTGGTTGTGGCCCTTTATACTCAGACCACGGTCCTTCACCTGAATGATCCAGGGCACTGGCTCCAAATCTGTATTCTATGCATAGGAACACAACACTGATTCACCATGGTGCTTGCTATTTTTTGTGATTGTATGAGTGTATGTGTGTGTGTGTGTGTGTGTGTGTGTGTACACACACACACATACCCATCTATATCCTATATAATAAAAGCCTAATATGCAAATTGTCCCCTTGACCGGGAGTTTGACCAGGAGTTTGACTGCTTGCTATGATGTGTGCTGACTACCAGGGGGCAGCGCGGAACATGGTGGGCATTGGCGACATGCTGCGACCTCTCATTGGCTACCTGGGGGCGGGGGTGATGGGGACAGAGGTGCGGTGAGAATGTGGGGTGTCCACTGAGCCCACTCTCACTCCCCCTGCTACCCTCCCCCAGGATGTCAGGGCTTACGTGCCAGGGAAGCTCCTGTGCTCAGGTGCCAGGCACCAATGAAGAGCCCGCCCGGTACCCGCGTGGCCTCTTCTGGGTGAGCTGGGCCACAACTGCCGGGGCCTCAGGAGCCAGTTGGGATCTCCGTGGTTTCACACAGGAGCCAGTCTGCAAGGCTGACCAGGAGAGAGGGCGCTGCCTGCCCAACTTCCATGCTGTGGCACTGGGTAGCCTAGAGGCCCATGCTGTGCCCCAGACCATAGCATCCAGCCATGCTCACCACATCTCCGTGTGGGGACTCTGGCACTGTGACTCAGGTGGCAGGGGCGTGTGGGGGCTTGGGAGCCCAAGTGCTGCCCAGGGCCCAGAGGTTATCTGGGACTTGCCCTTCCACACCAGATGCTCATGCTTCAATCGCCAGCCAGGCCTAGGGACTGCACCTGTGTATGAATTTCACGCACCGGGCCTCTAGTCTATGTATATAAAAGGCTAATATGCTAAGTGTCTGTCCAGGTAATGACATCACATAGCAATGCCCAGCTTCCTCTCCCTAGCGACTAGAAACTCCTTGCAGTTTCTTCAGTCCAGGAACATGACTTGCTTTATAGCCAGGTGGAAACATTTTACACTTTAACCAAATGTCTGTGAAGCATTTTCCTATGCCTCATCTAATTTTATCCTCACAGAGCAGAAGTCCTAGAGTAGGCAGATAGGAGACTTGGTCGAATCCTATTTTCTTTTCATTAGCCAGAAAATGTAGATTCAGAAAGCTTAGAAACTTGACCTGACTGAAAAGAAGTAAGAAATGATGGACCTTGAAAATGACTTTAGGTTTTCTCACTGCGCAGAATATAGTCAAACACTGCTGCAGCTAAATATTTTACCCTTTGTTCTCCCTGCATGATCTACAATAATAATCTGCTTTGTGTTGATATTTACTGCTGTGTTGCTGGCAATTACACGAAAGAGAAGGTGGGGTGCTTCACTGGGCTGGAAAAAGTTTAGCTAAATCAGAAATCAGGTCTAATTAAGCAAGTTTATTCTATATCTATAAAAGGCTAAGTTGACTCATGCATGTGCGATACATATAAAACTCTCGCTGGTGCCATTCGTATGTGTGTGTTTCAATCTGTCACTGTCAATCGTGAATTTGGTTGACACTTCTATTATGGAGAAAGGGCGAATAGCGATATTAAAATATTTCTTCTAATTAATTTCCTTTCAATGTGTACAAATTCGTGCACCGGGCCACTAGTATAAATATAAAAATGTACATCATTACACAAAGTTGTGATGGCCCATACCGTTATATTATTGTTATAATATAAAGCTATTATTTTTCCTGAATAGTTTGTGAACATTTTGAGAGCAGGCCCACCTATAGTAACTTGCATGCTGCCAGAACTTAATTAGCATTTATTGATTAACTGATTTAAGAAAAGCTCTTTAGCCTCCAGCATATGCTGCATTTCCTTCTAGAATCAGGAGAACAGCCGGTTAACATATTGGGTATAAAAGGACAAAAAAGTATGGTTTCCATTTTCCTTTAGATCTGTGAAAAGCAAGATAGGTTATTTTTTTAAAAACTCCTGAGATGAGATAACTGAACTCATCACATGAAAGCAATCTATCAATGTGTGTGTGTGTGTGTGTGTGTGTGAGAGAGAGAGAGAGAAATCAGCCAGCTCCCAACTGTAAAGTGGAGAAATAATGTGCAAAATATTAAATACAGGTGATGTTAGCAAATGGAGAGAATTTGTAAATTAGTACAGTTGTATGTGTAATACTTGCAACTTACCTCAATAAAGAAGATGCTGGCTGCTGATGTTGGATGGTGATACATGTAGACTGTCACAAGAATGGCTGCTGCTATAATGAGGACCAGGATGAGGATTCCAACAATGAGGCCAGCATGCAGGGTTCCCCCTTTCTTCTCGGCTGCACTGTCATCTGTGGAGGCTGAGAGAACAACACAGCTGTCAGGACATTCAGGTGTGTACTCTTAAGTGTGAATTTTCATTAGAAGGAATATTTAGATTTTAAGTAAAGTACTGTTGGATATTTTTATTTTACTTCCTGTGCAACTTTTCTTTTCCATAACACCCGTTTTAGAAGTTAGATGCTCTTTATTTGGGCAATAAAAAAATCCATACTATTAGTGATTAAAGTTATATTTATAATTGTGTTATAATTTATAGTTCAATAAGCAAGATCAATAGCCTTTGTTCTAAAAGTACTCCAGAAAATCTAAAACTCTAACTATATAATAACCTTAACTTTTATTTTTCTCTTTAAACCACTGGCCCTTTTACCTATGGGAAAATTGATTACTTTTCGAAACCTCCTCTTTCATTTTCTTGTGGAAATTTTAAATTGAAGAGTATTAGACATGTTTTTTGTGACTATACAGGCATTTTCAGAAAGTCTGCATAAGTTCAAAGGATAATTTTCGAAATCTGTCTTAAACTGCAATGCTCTTTAAAAGTATAACAGATGGAAGCTAAATGACCCTCAAATAGTTTTATCACTATCTAAAGGGAACACACAGCATATAAAAATATCCTACTATGCCACAGACCAATACAAATTTCTCTAACTCTTACTGAGATGCTTTCCACCATAATACTCATTTTCAGAGAGGTATTTCTGAATTTCTAAAGTAATAACTTTCCAACTTAAAGTCAATCAACCAAATAAAAGTAATCTATAAAGTATTATCTTGTTCTAAAAGTCTGTAATCTTTGATGACTACACGGGCATCTAGAGATCTTTTTAAATTATGTGCAGCAGGTAACCGTATCTTAGTGCAAAATAAAACTGGTATTTTTGAGTGAGAAAATTCATTAAGAGTCATAGAAGTTTTAGAACAGTGATTCCTAATCATTTCGTCACCAATTTATGTCTTTCTTATTTTCACGATTTGCCTCTATGTTTTAACGATTTTTTGTCTATTAAATCTCATTTAATAAGCACCAATTTCTTTTTTTAAAAAATTTTAATACAAAAAATATGACTGCCTATCAGAATGTGTGGTGAATGCTAAATAACAGAATTCTAGATAAATCAAAGGAACTTGACCTCCCAATTTTCCCACCCTTCCTTTGATGTTGCTATTGTTTTCTCTGCTTGAGATCCTTATTGTTATTCAGTAATCTTTCTCCAAATCAAATAAAGATTAAAACCCTAAAGCTTTCCCTTACCTAGCAGAAATTCATTAGTGAAAGAATGTACAATGTAAAGAGTAATTCATTCTATAAAAAGTCATTTACTGGGAGAATTCTAGGAAGATGGCAGTAAAGTATCAGGACTCTGTCTCCCCACCTAGATAACAATTGCACTGGCAGAATCTGTCTAAGGCAGTGATTTTCAAACAGTGTGCCAGGGCACGCACACTGATGTGCCACAAGAATTTTTAAAACATTCAATACCTGACTATTTAGTCAGGGACACTTGACTTCTTTTCCCTTAGATTGTTAAATTAAAAATAATGACAACAGTCAATACAACAACAGTCATCTGGTGTGAATGAATCAAAACTATATATACTTTTTCAGAGTGGCAAAAATAAAATTTTTGGTGTGCCATGGCATTTTAGTAATTAGTTTATGTGTACCATGAGATGAAGAAGGTTGGAAATCGCTGGTCTCCCATAGCTATTTTGGAACTCTGGACTATATTGAAGGCCTTCAACTTACCAGGTAAGGCTTAGACCATAAATTGTGGTTAATTTCAGTCAATTTCAGCTCTTAGCACAGTAGTAGCCACCTATTCTTCACCCCTGAACCATGTGGCAGGCAGCTGTGCATGTGTATTGATCACTGATTGGTGCTTCTGATCACAGAGGTGCACACAGAAAGACAGGCAGTCATTGTTGTTGCACCTCCCCCATGATTGCAAGCCTCTTCCCCTTTGGTTGACTGAATTCCAAGGGATCTGAAGAGCCAGCATTCTTCTGCCCTGGCAAGTGTGGCTGAGTTGGCTGGGCATCATACTGTGCACTGAAAGGTTGCTGGTTCGATTGCAGGTCAGGGCACATGCCCAGGTTGCAGGCTTGATCCCCAGAAGGGGGTGTGCAGGAGGCAGCCAGTTGATGTTTCTCTATATATATTTCCTCTCTCTCTCTCTAAAGTCAATAAAAAACCATTACAAAAGATAAAAAGAGGCATCACGCTTCTTATTGCTTCCCCTTTTACTTTTGTCATTTTCCCTTTTTTGGAGCCAGATATGAACAAGTAGAACACTCAAAAACAACTATGTATAAGGGGAAAATTTAAAAGTGACAGTGCACACCCAGAGAAAGGCTCAGGATAGACTTGAGAAGACCTTAAGTTTACACTTCAAGCTGAACCTCAATACAGAGACAGCCTGCAGCAATAAAAACACAACACAACAAAACAAAACAAAACAAAACAAAACAAAACAAAACAATAACCAAACCTAGCAAACCCTGAGGTAGGAAAATAATTTGATTCCCAGAGTTACCACATTATTAGGTTCAAATGTCCAGTTTCAAACAAAAATTCACAGAAAGGTGTGGTTCATTCAAAGAGAAAACAATCAATAGAAACGGTCCCTGAAATAGAATCTATTAGAAGCTGGGAGAATATTCAGAAAGGTCAGGAGGGACCCAGACTTTTATTCCACACCGAGGATTATCTTAATGCTCTTTCACTTATACCCAAAAGCCAAACAACATCCTCACCTCCACACAGGGCAATTAAAATATTTAGCCTTTTTAGCTTTATATTGTGTATTCAAATAAGAGGAATTAATGATAACGGACAAGACACCATAAAGTAGAGCCTCAAAGCCACAAAAACAAGCATATACATATATTTGAAAAGTCTATCAAATCGAGGCCTTCTTTGTACTACGTTGAAGACATTTTAAAACATAAATCATGTACAGAAATGGAATAGTATCAAATATAATATGCTGTCATCTGATGAGACTTTCAAGTTTCTAGTTTTTACTACTTTATAAGATGCAGATCAATATTTAGACACAAAGAGGACTGTGAGAATTATCAAATGTATCAAAGCAATCTGCGATGTGGGGATAGTTTAGTTATGATGATAGTAAAAACAACAGCTTTAAAAGGCATTAAGTACAGATTAGATAATATTTAAGATCTTACGTAAATGTGTTTAATTTGCTGCATTCCAAGAAAAGTTTATGACTTGTTGATAAGAGGAAAGATAAAAGAAAAGAAAGAAAGAAGATAGGAGGAAAGAGAAGAAAGTTTGATATGTTTCTTCAAAGTGTAACATTTAATTTTAAAACCTCTATGTCTTCTTGTTTTTTCTATGACTGACATTTTTCAAGGTTTACAGCACATAGCATTGATATTCTGTTAAAAGTACAATTCTTCAGTATGATAAAAAGATTTTTATACATTGCTAAAGTGATCTGTGCCCACTATTAAATCTTGCCAATAACTAAGTCCAGAAATAAAGTAAAACTAAAATACAAATGCTCCTTGTCTGAAATTTTATTCACTTTAGAACTAACTCTCTCCTTGGCTTTAAAAAGAAACACCACAGCCCATAAATTCTGCTTTGTATTAATGTCCTTTGGGGGACCAAGAGGCTTTGGACAAAGTCTTGCACAAACTTGTTCAAAATTCATAAATCTTATGCAGATAATGTCAAAATGTTCTTTTTAAAAGATAAGTAGAGTTAAACTATAAATGCTCAAAATGTTAGTGTTCCATTTTTGGCTTAAACACACACCCACACACACACACACACACACACACAGACACAGGACATTCCCTATGGAATATTACCTAACCCATTTATAAGCTAAAGCATGTAATGGAAGAAAATCAAGTGATACAATTTTTCAATAAATTAACTTTCCTTTTAAAGTTTCCCTTGTAACTGATCTCATTTTGTAGCTCATATATTTTTCCTCTTAGCTCTTTTAGCTTTTCTACAGCCATGATAATTTAGTGTTTCTCCTGATGTTTTATGCATTCTCTTATTTTTTTAAATCCTCACCCCAGGAAAAGGTTTTTATTGATGAGAGAGAGAGAGAGAGAGAGAAAGAGAGAGAGAGAGAGAAACACTGATGTGAAAGAGAAACAATCAGTTGCCTCTTGCACATGCTACATGCCCTGACTGGGAGTCAAACCCGGGACACTTTAGTGCACAGGATGACACTCTAGTCAATTGAGCCACTGGCCAGGGCTATTCTCTTATTTTTCATAATTCTCTTAGTTCTTTCAGCTTCTTAATCATGGTCTTATTACTTTTTTGGGTGCTTACCAATCTGTCAATATTATGTAGGCAGTAGGGTACCTTGAAATATTATACAAGCTATACCTAATCCACAATATGCTTCACTGTGACAACACATTCATAATTCACATTATGACATCTCCCAGATTTGGGTAAGTACTGTGAAAAGATGTTAAAATGAGTGCAAAAGACACAGCTAAGTGCATTATGTATGGCGAGAACAATAGCTCGCAGGAGCAGCTGGCCCAGATTCTCTTTTGCAGCCTGTGCTACTACATGGCAACTGTGAAATTTCATTCAGGGAAACTTCTGGGCTAAAGGAGCTTAAGGTATGACAATCTTTTAAAACAATAATCCATTGCTTTTTATCTTAGAAAAATGACGCTAAATAAAATTACCATGAAATCATATTAAAAGAAATGCTTGATTCCATCAAAATGAGGGATTTTGGAGACTAACCACAGCCCAGCGTGCCTCTGGCCTCATTATGCGATCAGAGCTCTCATGCAGCATATATCTGAGCACCTAAGAGCAAAGGGTTCACAGTATGATGGCTGCACAAGACCAAAAATAAACCTCTGGAGTAATCCATTATCATTTTTCATTTCTTATGTGTATGTACTACTTTTAAAAAGTAATATACCTATGCCTCCAATACTTTCTGCAACCAAGCTCTTTAAAAGACCTACTTTTTAAAGTTTTCCTAACATCAGCATT